TAGGAATATTTTAAATATTCCTATAGGGATAAATCAATTTTAAGTTGAACTAGTTCATATTAAAATTTTATTTATTCGTAGGAATATTTTAAATTCTCCTACATTTCATTTATTCCTGCGACATATATAAAAAATGTATTCAAATCCATTATGCGCATCGGTCACTATCATTCATACGAAAAGGAAAAAGAGAGAGATAAATGTTGAAGAAAATACCTCCGCAATAAAACGAAGAGATAAACTCGTAGACCTTTTATATATTTTATTTCTTTTCTTATATTAAAGCAAGAATAAAATAAGGTGGAATGCAGACGTCTTTGATGGATCATATTTGAATAAAACAAACCAATCTAAGTTGCTAGTAGTCGATTCCTTGATAAATAAGCCCAGATATCGGTCTTTTTCGTACTCAGATATGCACTCGTGAATGAAACTCTGTTCGATTTCATTGGAAACTCCTGAAATTTATTATTCATATCTAAGTAAAATCTCAAATAAATAGCTTCTTCGCCTATTCAAATTAGTTCAAATTTTGATCCGAAACCAACTCTTGGTGGGAGTACCGGCCCCGATGTAAAGGAGAGCATCTCCAGTGTTACCAGATCTCGCTTCGGATACAAAATAGAGAACCGGGTAAAGCTAGTATATAGATTCTACTTTCATTTACCACCTTTCTATGTATTCTCTAAATATTTTATTCAGTGAGTAATTGTCTATAGTATAAAGGAAAATTACAGTTATATCACAAGAAAATATAAAGATTTTTCTAACTTCGTTATTCTTTCAAACGATACATTTTCTTTGTATTGTGATTCGATAGTTGTATGATTTTTGTTAGATTTTTCCTTTTAATCTCAAAGTTAGTTCCACAAATTTTGCTGTGGTAAGAATATCAGAGCATGGATTATATTCTTTAGGATCAAGTTCTGTCGGGCAAAGCCAGGGATAATCCGTTTCCAATAGCAGATGATTTAATAAATCATTTCGACCTCTAATCCATTTTTTAAATATTTTATCTTGTTCTATACTATCATTGTGTGTACATGAACCATTTAGTCCAATATAAGAGTTTTCAAATATGTCTAGAAATTCATCAATTACTCGCAAGTCACTATTTGACCGTATGCAGTGCCAGTGTATATGATGATTCCTATCGAGATTTTTCAATATACAATCTAACATTGATCGAAACAATTGTATACCACGACAGTGCAATACAAGTGGTATATCAAATTCTTTTGCCATCTTTACTTGCGTTTCAAATGTTAATATCTGTTGTTCAATATGTAAATTACTCGTCTCATCAAGACCGGTTTCACCAATCGCGACAATCACCCTATTAGATGATGAGTATTGATAGATGAAAATTTCTCGAAGTACTTGCATATATTTATCATAATCCTTTACCATGGCAATGAACTGAGGGTGCATCCCATATGTTTCATATATACAGCAATTCCCATTACTCAATGCTTTAACATTACGCCATTGATAATATATATGTTTGTTTGAAATTAAAATTAACTTCCGTATTGTTGAAGTTTTTAGATAACTGAGAAATTCCGAATTCGGAAAGTCATCGTAATGACAGTGACTATCATATAATGGTGTCATTACATGTAAATGCGTTTCAATCTCACAGTTACACCGTTCAACAATACTCCGTAAACAAATATTCGCCATCTAAAACAAAATTCATTAAATCAAATTTGATATTTTGCTTCTGCTGTCTATAACTATTTTCATTATTTATCAGAACATTCTTAAATGGGCGTTCACAGTTATTCTAAATGTCGTATATTACTTTCTTTTACATTATTCCCCTTAGTCGGTGTGTGTCTGTGTATAATATATGTATATTGGTGTGAATATGTATGTGTTTGTATGCATGGGTAAATACCCTACATCGGAAACACAAATCACTTATGAAAAGTAATTTTTTAAAAAAATTAATAAACTTTTTGGTAACCTAATGGTTCTACGACTAAGAGAATGTCTTTTTTCAATCTAACTTTGAGCATCTAATAAGCTTCGTTTTTCAGATCGGTTCTAGTGGAAGGATTCATATGGTACTGCTGAACTGTCTCATTTCCGTCGATGAGTAATACTATCTTTATTAAGAATTGGCTGTAACACCTCTCGCCAATAGTCTTCCCTAGCTTGTC